GTACAATGGCTCCACGGCATAAATAAAGAATCTATTGATAGCATTTAAGGTCATCTTCTAGCGGAGGAAGGGATTTTTTTTTTTTTCACTCGGGTTTAATTTTTTTTTTTGGTGTATATCTGTTATTTTTTAAGATATTTTATTTATTTATTAGACTTACAAAATATTTAATAAATTTAAAAATTATTTGTGTTACACTGACCCAACTATCCAGATTATATAAAAAGAAGAAGAATCTATTGATAAGCATTAAAGAAAATGTTACGTATACACTGACCCCACCATCTGAATTATATATATAAAAAAAGAATCTATTGATAAGCATTAAAGAAAATCCTTTCAATTTCTTAAACACATACATACATGCATATGTATGTATTTTTCTTTTTCGTTTTGAGAAACTGTTTATCCTTAGGGCTGTATTCATGAGTGTGAAGTCTAGGAACCTGTGTGTTATTCTAGCTATATTTTTCACACGTGTATGTATGTATGTATGCATGCATGCATGTATGTATATATATGCATGCGTGTATGTATGTATATGTGTTGTTATTTTTAGCAGTTTATAATTTTGAGAACATCTCCGGGGAAGAAATTCTTATTTCTCCCCTGGACGTGCCCTTTACCAAATGTCCGGTGGAGTGAAAAAAGAATAAACCAGAATGGAATGGGGGTCGGGAACAATTGATTTACTATTACAAGGCGAATTTTCACGGTAGATTTTAACAGTGAAATTACTTTTTTATCCTTTAATTAAATAATATTTGGTATAGATTAGGAGGGCAATATGATTTTTTGTTTTATATGAACAATAAAAATACCACAATGCCATTAGAGACAAAACATTAAAAAAAAAGGTATATGCCTTTAGCGAGATTACTTGAATATGTTTTAAGTCAATTCGTTCTTCAGTGTCTGCTTACTCGGACCATTTTTATATCCTTTTTGTATCTGATTTTATGCTTCCATAGATTTTTTTCAAGGTATTGTGATTGTTTTCTTCTTTTAGAAATAATTATATCAATATCATTTCTTATTCTTTTATTGTTTACTTAAAATAAAACTAACTTATTAAATTTAGTTGATGCTATAACTTGAGCTAGTGATTTCTTTTATTTTCTGGAAACCCACTCGCGACTTTTAAACATTGATTTTTAAGGAAAAAATATAGACCCACGGTGTATCATGGACCCATGCTTAGTTATATATATAAAACATTAAAAGGTGTGGGCTTTTTGATGTGCACACGTCACCATTCATTTTCTTACATTTTATTGTGGAGCTACTATTTAAAATTTTGTTTTTTTCAATTTGAATCTCAAACTCTTTTTTTTAGCAATTGCATCTTTTTTAAGTCAAATTCAAAGAAAATTCAATAAAATTTGATAATTAAGAAAAAAACTAAAAAATAGGGGACCAAAATAGAAAACACATAAAAAATGAATAATGATTTCAAAGCTTGTGTAAAAAGTTTAGTTTAATTCTTACACTTTAAAAATTATATATTTTTGGTCTCTACGTATTTTTTCAATTCAATTTTGATATAATTTTTTTTTTTAATTTTAAAAAAGAGAGAGAGGTCGTCGAATTTCAACGATAAAAATAGCAAAATGTCACTAACACAAATTTCACCTATTAAAATAATCGAGCTTTGTGTCAGATTGTTTTATTTGATGAGAGTAGTTCTTATTTAGTGTTTTTTTTTTTTAAAGTTCTTATAAAGTGCCTCTCCTTTTTAACCTTAAAAGTGTCTAAAAAGTAGATCGAGGATGAAATATTTTTTTTGTTTGGGGTTGATTTTGTGTTTTAAGATGGCTTTTTGAGGGCATGGACATGATTATCAAGACCTTCAGAGCTGGTTTAAAAATGAGCAAAATTAGATGAGACATTATATACTTCAGAAGGTAAGGCGTATCCTCGTTATTTTTTGAAAAAACAAATCATGGTGAATGACATATCATTTATCCCAACTATAATAAAAAAGGCCCAAGTACACGGGTATCGATGAAATAGGTTGAGTTGGTTGGCCTCACTTGTCAGGCCCAACAATGCTTAATTTTTTTAATTTTTTCTGTTTTTTTAAATTGATGTTTTTTTTTATATGCTCTATTTTTAAAATATTTTTTTATTTAAATTTAAATTAATAGCCATCATCTTTTTTATTTTATTTATACAACCTTTTTAAAATAATAATAATTTTTTAATTCTTGAAGAGATTTGTTTTTTTTATTTATCTATGATTTTTTTTATTTTTTGCATAGATGAAATTTATTTTTAAAAATAAAAAATTTATTTTTAAAAATATTTATAACACGTGTAGCATTGCATAGATTTTTGCCATTTTATTTTATCCGGTCAATTTATTGTGCATGTTTATTTCTATTATCGTTTGATTAAATAGATAAATAATTAATAAAAAAATTTAGAAAATACAATGAGGTAAGTTTTGCAAGATTAAATATCTTGATCTACATATATCTTTTAATTTTTACATTTTTATTTTTAGTTACTATTCATGATTATTTTCTTTATTTATTAATATATATAATTTTCAATTTATTTAATTACATAAATGCATAAAAAATTTAATTTTTATTTAGAATTTCCTTATCTAAAAAAACATATTTGAAATCCTGTACGTGTAATGTTTTTAGAAAAAAGATTTGTCTCACGGCAAACAAGAATGAAATGGGCAATGTTAATTTCTTTAAATGAAAAGGAACCCTTTTTGTTTGGTTAGCTTGGAGTATCATGATCAGGTATCTTTTTTTTTTTTTTATTTATGTGGGGTGTTTGGACTAAATTGTGCGTACCACGATTAATCTTCATGGCCTATTGAATATTCTACAAACCCAGTAGACAGATAAGATATCGTGAAAATAATAAACATGTATATCAAGACTCAAACCTATATACAATGAAAGAAGACAATCTCCTTTAACCGCTGAGATAAGAGAAAAGGAGTGAGATTTGTTCACTATCCTTAAGGGAATTGAAGATGAACAAAGACAATTAGTCAACTCATGGTGATCTCAAAGGCATGCAAACGCAATGACGTCACTGACTGTAATAAGATAGACAATAGTCGTGCCTCCTTTTTAATAAAATAGTGAAAATAGAAATTAAGAAAGGATCATAAGTGAAGAGCGTGTGAAAATATAATTAAAAAAAAAAAGAGTAAAGGCAAAAACAAGGACTCACCGAATCAGTGACGAGGTGATGCCTAAGTCACCACACAGGACACCATTGAATATAGATAGGATGACGTCAATTACAGTGGTTGGCCGTTGGGTTATCATTTATCTCCTTGCCATGTGTGACATCGTGCATGGCTGTCCTTCTTACCGATATATATATTTTTTAAATAGATTTTTAATAAATATTTTGTTAAAATGATTATAAGATAGTTTCTTACATATAAAATAAATAAAAAAGATCTTCATAAATAAAAAATAGATTATTTTAGCTTTCACAAAAACAAACACTTGATTGAATCATAATTATGATTTATTATAAAAAATAAATAATCTGTTTTAAATCAAATCACATGTAATTTTAAATTTAATTTTACGTATAATTTTAATTCAAATGATAATTTTTTATAATTAATAAAATATTAAATTATATAATTAAATTCAGTTATATTATTTAAAATATCTATCAAAATAAATTAAATTAAGATTTTTAACTATTTTACTTTTAGAACTAATCATTGATTAAATAAAATAAGTATAGTTAGATCTTTACTCGGAAAAGGCTAATACTGAAACCTGCTATCCATTGATAAATTCATCTACATAAATGTATTATCCTTTGAATTCCTTATGTGAACATTGTACCCATCTTTAATATACCTTGAAATCAAGAGGTTATATAGTGTTACCCCTTTAAATGTTTTTTTAATTTTATTTATTATTATTATTATGAAAGTATCGACAGGGCACTGTTGCCGCCAACAAGCATTATTATTTGGTCTTCCATTGGAGGAACCTTTTTGATTATCAAGATAAATTGAATTCATAGTGATATCATCTTGAAATTATTATTTTTTTAATGTAAAATAAATTAAAAACAGATTTATAGAGATAAAAAAATTGATTATTCTAATTTCTATAAAATTAAAGTTTGAAATACACAATTATATGCGGGGTCCAAAACAAAAAACAAAAATGATTTAACTAAATAAATAATTTTTTCTATAGTTAGGTAAAAAAACAGAAGTTACCTATTGCCAAATGTGCTCTTCAAAATAACTAAGCTTCTACTTTTACCATGTTTGTAGTATTTCGAAAATAGAAAGGAGTTATATATATATATGTATGTACTCAATCTATCTTTGACTTTATCTAAATTGTTTTTTAAATGAAAAAAATGTTTATTTTAAATTTCATTAAAAAAATTAAGAGTTTACTTGACACTACAATAAATTATAATTGCATATTTAAAAAACATTAGTTTGTTTTTTAATTTAATCATATTTTTATATAGATTATCAAATTTTAATATAATCGACTCGTTTCTTAGTTACATATGTTGAATTTTATTAGAAAATTTTAATATATATATAGCAATCTGAATTAAATTACTAACATAACATACGCAATAAACGGAACTAGATAAAATATAATAGCTTTCCTATGATAATACATGCTTTTTACATGATTTTATTTATACATTTTATATTTATTAACGTGGTTAAAAGGGATACGTTAATATAAATCTATCAAACCATCTATCTCTAACAATCGTTATTTCTTAGTTGCAAAGCATTGGTCGTTTTGACCGCAGCTCAACTGGTCTGAACGAAAGTCAGGATTTAATTAGTAATTAAAGACCAGGCCAAACGTCTGAACGCGCTACGAAGGAACTGTTTGTTTGTGCCGTAAGCCTTTTTTTTTAATTGTTTTAATATGCAATGTTAGAATAAAATTTTAAAAAATATTATTTTAATATATTTTTAAAAAATAAATTCCACCACGATCACCTACACTTCCATAAAAGAAGAGAGAACCCATTGAAAGATAACAAGGTTGTCTTGGTTATAAATCTCGTCGACTTCAGCCCCTTTTCACTTCACTTCTTTCGTTCCCACACGCCATTCTCTCCCTCTCTCTCCTCTATTCCTGTGTGTGTACGTGATTGTCTCCGTATTTTCCACTTTTAAACTGTTCTACTTTTTCTTTCCCATCTTGTTCCCCACCCTCATTGCTTCTGTTTTGGGTTTTGGTTTTGAATCATAGTTCATTTTCTTTTAAATCCATGGTCTGCATGCCATCGAATTCGTGGTTGGTTCTCTGCTATCATCACTTCTCTGCGATATAATTGCTCTGATCAAAGCTCAGTTCTTTCTTTGCTGTGTTTACACCTTGTATTCAATCCTCAACTGGGTTTCTTTGTTCTCGTGCTTTTCCTTCATTTCCCCTAGTTTTCATTTTTTTCATCCCGCGGTTGCTTTTTGAGGATTGAAAGCTGAAGGAAAAACCATGAAGTGTTTCTATATTTTTAAGGATAAATTTAAGAACAAGAAAGGACAAGCAAATTCAGCCCCAGAACCGAGAGACCAAAGCAAATCAAATAGTTCACCTCTGAGTCGTACAGCGAAATCCTTACCATCTCCAAGAAGCATACCTGAATTGTACAAAGAGAAGGAGCACAATTTGCGAGTTTTCAGTTTTCAAGAGCTTAAAGAGGCAACAAATGGTTTTAACAGATTGCTTAAGATTGGAGAAGGTGGCTTCGGGAGTGTGTATAAGGGAACAGTCAGACCTGCCAGTGGTCAAGGCGATCCTATAGTGGTTGCCATTAAAAAGCTCAACAATCATGGCTTGCAGGTACAATCTCTCTCTGTTTTTTTTTTTCCGTTGATAATTCCAATCTCATTTTTTCTCTGTAATTTTTGTCCTTAATTTTTTTTTAATTCCTTCTGTTTATATTTCTAGTTTTTACCCTTTTCAATTGCCTTTTGCATTCAGCGTTGTATTTTGGTGGAGAGACTATATGTATGAGCATCATGCTATAAATTGAAAAAAATATCATGTTTTGCTTTCGCTTTCAGTTCATGATCAAGATGAAAAAGATTGCTGTAAAAATAAAGAACTGAAAAAGGATGCCTTTTTTGGTGATTGACTGATGTACTGGCATACCCGTTCCTGTAACGATCACAAAACTGTAATGCGCTACAGTTTCGAGTCTTCGAATGACCTTACAGATGCTAAATTCGAATTGGTTGGGGGAGTTGATGTTGAAATCAAAACCTGACATGATCATGTGAAGGAATTTTTTGGCTGTCTATGCTTACACGAGACACAAATCATGTCATTTTTCTGTCAACAATGTCTTTGGCCAAGGTAGCAAGACGATTCCGTTTGGATTTGCAGGAGTCTTGAGTTCCATTCTTAATAATGTTGGTAGTGATAAATCATTTGGTGATTGCCAGTTGTATAGGATACAAGGGAGAGAGTATTGTGAATGAGCAGAATTAAGTTGGTATTATCCCAAAGTATATTAGCAAGAGAAAAGAAGCTAAGTTCAAATGTCCAGTAGACAACAATCTGCAATAAGCCAACGTCTTCGCATGTCTTAAACTTGAACTTTATGAAGAGAATTAGATTATAATTAGGAAAATGGAATGTTTTTCTTGGAGTTAAATTAATTGTATCCAAAACGAAGCATTCAGATCTTGGAATATTCTATGTAGTTCTAAGACACGTAATTCTTGAAGATTCTTTTAGGGCATATATTATTTCTTCCAACGGTACCCGGTTCAAGCTGAAGTTTTTTTTTTTTGGTAATTTTGATGAATATTGGCCTTCATTGAGTGTTAAGCGTTTTCTTTTCTTTATTGTTTATATATATTTCTTCATTTCATTTCATCAACTACAATGAAATGATTTTTCATTTGTCACTGCCCTTTTCTGATATAGGGTCATAAACAATGGCTTGCAGAAGTTCAGTTTCTTGGAGTTGTTAGTCACCCGAACCTAGTGAAACTTCTAGGTTACTGCTCTGTTGATAGTGAAAGAGGGATCCAACGGCTTCTGGTTTATGAATATATGCCCAACAGAAGCTTAGAAGATCATCTTTTCAAAAGAGGTCCACCCACTCTGTCATGGAGGAAAAGATTAGAGATAATCCTTGGTGCTGCTGAAGGATTGGCGTATTTGCATGGAGGAATGGAAGTCCAGGTACTGTTTAGAATGACCTAGATGAACTGAATAAATGTCCCCTTTACCTGTAACTGTGCAAAATCAAAATCTGTAGTGATCTATGAAAGTGGAGCCTTCTTGCACTTTCATGCTTTCTAGTTGTGGCTATTGGCGTGTGTACCTTTAGGTATTGGCTAAAAGAGGAAATTTCAAGTCAAGGTCTTAAATTCAAAGTCGTATCAAATTTATATAAAGGTAAAATGACCCTTTGTCGACCATCAAACTGGTTGAGTATTTGAGCTCCTGGTTTGGATAGGTTCGTTGCTTCATGTGAGAACATTGGTTCCCTTCCCGCTGTGAATTGAACATTGTTTCCCTTCTCGCTGTGAATTGATAAGTCTCCAGCTCTGGAAGATGATATAACTTGGCCACTGTCCTCATTCTTTTCTGGCAGGGGATTTGATTGGCTCGTAAAAAATGCCCCATAGCTTCTGAAAGGCATTTCTGAATCTACTGTTCAGACCTCTCATTGCATAGATGACAAGTCGCACCATTGTCTGATTTTACACCACAGGATATTATTGTGAAAGACTCCCATAGATAAAACCTTAGCAGAACTCATTTTCTGCGTCCAATTTATTGTAACTTCTTTTCCTAATGGTATCTTTTTTTTTTTTGGGATTTGGAGAAGCTGTGAATTGTGCAATTGGCATTGTGTATCTTATTTTGTTTATGAAAGACCTTAAATTTTCTTGGCTTTACATTGAAAGTTTTGGTACATTTGAAAGCAGCCTCCTTTCAATTATAAAATTTTAATCTTTTTCAGCCACAATTGTACAGGTTATTTATCGAGATTTTAAATCCTCGAATGTTCTTTTGGACAAGGACTTTAAACCAAAGCTCTCTGATTTCGGGCTTGCTAGAGAAGGACCGACGGGTGATCGAACTCATGTATCCACTGCGGTGAGTAACTTTAAGACATTTATAAATGAAACCATCCCCAAATTTGTGTTCTTCATTATGTTTCTGAACCAAACATTGTAGCTGTTTAATGCAATCAACCATGAACTGCCACACTAGAAGGATGGTTCTCTGATTATTGAAATGATGTCTGGGAAACTGAAAAATAGTAGTCTGTCATTACTAGGAGAAACAAAATTAATCTCTTCTCTTTCCTTTTATTTTTTTCCTTTCCTTCTTTAGTCATATCTATCAAATCATTAATGGATTTTTACCAGCGAAGTCCCACTATTAGATCTGGATAAATGTGGTTATGCAGGATGCCTTGCCCTAACCATCGATGATTGAGACAAAGCTTCGTGATTATATTTCTAGATTGGTTTTTAGCCTTGCTTGTTTTTGTGTTGATGTGTTTTCTTGTGTCAGGTGGTTGGTACATATGGATATGCTGCTCCCGAATATGTTGAAACAGGCCATCTCACCATTCACAGTGATGTATGGAGTTTCGGCGTCGTTCTCTATGAAATCCTTACTGGCAGGCGAACGCTGGAAAGAAATCACCCTGTAAAAGAGCAGAAGCTTCTAGATTGGGTGAAACAATTTCCAGTTGACAGTAAAAGATTTAGCATGATAATTGATCCACGACTCATAAATGAGTATTCCTTCAATGCAGCAAAGCAAATTGCTAAGTTGGCAGATAGCTGCCTTAACAAGAATGCAAAAGAGCGGCCGACAATGACTCAAGTGGTAGAGATGTTGAAGCAAATAATACAAGATATAGAAGGGGGGAACACCTCTACAAATAGGAATGCTGAATCGTCTCAATCTAACTTGTTAAGGCGCAAACAGAACAAGGTTTGTCCATGTGTATTATCTTAATGGGCTGGCTGAGCCTACACATCACCGTACTTAACCGGCTAAACAATCTTTTGTGATTCTGGCAGGTATAATTGCTTGGGGGTTGAGCACAATTGAATGGCCATATTATCAATGCGCCTGAAATCTATTGAAAAACAATACCGTGGAGTTACGTAATTTTGTATATGAGTTGATCCGAATCAATCTCAATTCGACTTAGCTATAGCATTCTTTTCTTGTTTTACTGGTTATCATTTTTCCTCTGTTAAGTTCATGAATGTTGCGAGGCAATAAGATAAAGGCACATAGTAAATGATAGAGTGGTTTTGAATCTTGATGCTGGCTGATGTAATCATAATGATTGATGCAATACGATTTCCATTATTTCGCTAGTTTTGAACAACGCCTACAGTTGCTTTTCCCCTCTTGCCCCAGGAAATGGAAATTGAATTACCCCTCTTGCCCCAGCCAGCAGCTCTTGGTAGAACATTTCCCCTCACTACTCTTGTAGCATATGAATATACGAGGATCAAGGGTTTTGCAGGGTGATATTTTGCAGTATATTTGCTTGGATCCTGCTCAAAAGGAGCCATGAAACGTTGCTATGGTTTGCATCCTTGGCTGTGCTCTTACCAAGCAGAAGATGGAAAATCAAAGATTATATAAAATATAATTTGATTAGCCGGCGGAAGCCGCCCGCCCCACTCAAGTGATCCTACACCCAACTTTCAATATATATAAAATATAATTTAACCAAACAGATTATATAATGATGATTATTGCTGTTGTTCAACTTTTACATCGTATGTTCCTACAAGAGTGTATTCTCGTCGCGCTCAAAACATAATTCTTCACGAACTCATGCCTAACGTTTTGTCACGAAGCGATTATCAGCTAAAATAAAATCTAAATACACAAGCAAACCGTATTCTTAGTTATTTATCTATGAGCCAAAAATCGCCTACATACAAACAAGATCTTGTAATTCGATGCATATATTTGTTTTTCATGAGCCACGGTATTACCATGTGTTCTTAGAGATAGATCGATGTGAAAGTTATCCTCGTACGAAAGATGTTTCTTAATGGCCGAGTCGTATGCATGCCAAGATTGACTTCCTGGGAGGCTTGGATGATGACATCTTTGTGTGATTTATTTATTTTAATGGTTTGTTAGAAAACATGGCAACCAATCAGGGCTCATATTTGTTTAAGAGGCGTCAGAATATCATTACAAGGTGTCAGCATACACCGTTAATGACGAGTTAGAATATATTTGTTTAAAAGGGGCGCCTTGAAAAACATAAAATTCATGCTTTCTATGAGGTGCGCTGCGCACCGCATCATAAATATTATTTTAATATATTTTAATAGTTTTTCAAAATATTTTTTTAATGTATTAAAATAATATTTTTTTATTTTTTAAAAAATTATTTTTAATATGAACATATTAAAAAAAATTAAAAATGTATAAAAAATATTTTTTTTTAAAAAAAATTAAAATTTACTCAACCTCTGTTTATAACACAATACTCAACGTGGTGTTACTCTGCAACTGGCCTGAGTTCAACGTATTGCCATGATTCTTAATTGCACAAATACACTTTTTCATATGTAAATCGGGTTTTACACTTAGAGTCTTGGAGTAATTAAAAAGTAACTATTAATAATTACTTGTTTAATAGGAAAGATGATGTTTCCAGAACATTATTGAGAATAAAATTTATATTTTGGATAATTAGTTAATTTTTTAATTTTAACAATCTCATTCCTTTTTTCCTGTCAAAGTGGCTGTGTTGAATGCTTGATATTTCGTAAAATTTTTTGTTTTGAGACTTTATACTTTTTAATATTTAAATAAATATTTTTTCGAGAGAAAATATCATGTTATTGTCCAGAGGTATTCTTCTCAGCAAAATCCATAAAATTAAAAAAAAAAAGTTTGGGATTTGATTGATAATAGGGTAAACCATTAAGGCCTAAACTGAGGTTTCTCCGAAGAAAACTCATGAAGATTCGATAGCCTTCGGCTACATGAATTCATTATTCAAGTGAGAAGCATTACATTACAGGCTGGTCTAAGCCGGCTCTGGCCTAATAAATCAAGTGTTTTAAGCTCCGGCTTTGGTCATTGGAGCCCACCTCCAGCCCATAATTATGTTCTTAATTACTTCAGGCGTCCTCAATATTTATTCGTGAATTGATATGGAAAACTATTTTTTAAATTATTTTATATTTATTTGTTATTAAAAAAATTAGTTAATAAAAAATATTTTTTAATAAATAAAAAATATTTTTAGTTACAAAAATTTAATTTGATTTTTAGCAAAATATATTTTTTTTTACTATATTTATTTTTAGGAAAGTAGTTTCTGGAAAATCATTTTTAATTTTTTTTTATATTTGTTTATCATTAGAAAATTAGAAAAGTTAATTAACGAAAAATACTTTTCAGTTAAAAAAAAATTTAACTTGGTTTTAAAAAAAGTATTTTCCTGAAAAATTTGGATGGAAAACACTTTTCAAAAGTTGTGAAAAATTTTAAAATGTTATTATTAGCTGATTATATCAAATTTGATCGTTAAATTTTTTATTACTATATATATTTTGTTTTGAATATTTATTTTTTAATTTTATTTTTTAAAATTTTATTTTTATATTAATTTTGATTTTAATTTTTATAATTGCTATTTATCTTTTTTTTTTTATTTTTTTTATTGAAATTTTTTATATATCAAATTTTATCCTCATTCTTTTTATTATTACTTATTTTATTTAAAATAATTTATGAAATGTTAAATATTATTATTTTAATTTCTTCATCTTTTATTTTTTAAAATATTTTAGATTTAATTTCTATTATTTTGATTATTATTTATTTTATTTAAAATAATTTATGAAATTATATATTTTTTAATTTCATTTTCATTCAACTATTTAATTTATAAATTTTTTTTCTTATTATTTTAATAAATGTTTAAAAAATAAATTATTAATAAATTATTTTTCAGCTTATTATTCATAACATAACCATTAAAAAATATTTTTTAATTTATTTTTTATTATATTATTAAACATTAAAACATAATTTATTTTTTTAAAATTTATTTTTAAAAAATTATTTTTCAACGAGAAAACAGGTCTTAATTGTATTTTTTTTTTAATAAGGAAAATCTCAAAGCATAACTGGAGAAGGAAAATGGGAAAATAGTTCACTTTAATTCAAACAGTAGCCCACAACAGGTGTTTTCTCTGCCGTTCCCTTCTGGTAACCAATTCCAAACAATTTCTCCTCAATTTTTTTTTAATCTTTTTAAAATTTATCAGCTCGGAAAGTGCCTGGAGACTTAATTGAAGATCTTCTCTGCGGAAATCCTAATCGGTACTGCTACCACGTTGGGATTTCTACTTGCTTCCTCATCTTCTGTGTAACAGTGCGTTAAATTGTTTCCCGTCTTACCTAATTTGTTGTTTGTTTCTTTCTTTCTTTAATTGTACGTTGTGTAATATTGCTGCTGCTGCTGCTGTTGTTGTGAATTTTTCATGTATAGAGGGTTCTATCTTTTTTGGTATGAAACTTGGCGTCAGAATACCCTTCTAGAGTCCTAATTCTCCATTTTTTTTTAACTTACTTATGATGCGAGTTGAAGGTGGAAGATGAGGATGAGATGACATGGGGACTATCTTGGAATGACAACTTTGACTAAAAATCTCTTCACACAGCTTTGTGGAAGAATCTTGTATTGAGAGACGAGGGATTTCCTTCAGGATCTATTCGGAAGATCAAAGCCCTTTCTTTACACTGTCTTCTGTCATTCTTTTCTTTTTGTATGGGAGTTGGCTTGCATACGATTCTGACTGTTAGTAATCCTACAGAAAACGGAAAAGGTGGTGGTGAAGTGGTACAATTTCTCTGAGGGTGCATCTGAATCTCTCAATCCCTTGTTGTTTCACTGTTGCCGCTGTTTGGAAATTGGAGCACTTCAGGCTTTGGGGATGTTGAGTTGAATGCTTGGCTTGGTGGAGGTGTCTGTAGGAGGAAAATGGAAGTTATGAACTTGTAGTCCACAAGCTATAATTTTGTTACTAAGGAATGCGACAAAACTGGGTGTGCAATGGAAAAGAGTCTTCGCCTTCTTATAGATAATTCAGTCACAAATTTAAATTCTGGCACACGGGGAAACTCTTTGCAAGTGTAATTTATGCTACAGAGTTTATTAACTAATTATTTTTTATCTAAGTTTTGTTCTCTGTAAATGGGATGGCACTCCCTTGATAGCTTTAGAATAGGCTTCTTTTTCAACAGAAGAAAAGAGAAGAAAGGTAGATCCGAGTAACGATATGGAACATTATAGTATATAAAATTAGGAACAAGTTTAATGTACACAGTAGTTTACCAAAACTGAGACCTGGGAGCTTATGATTAATCTCTGCAATGTTGATCTCTTAGGAAGTATGGTTTCATCTAGTCTTTATAAATTATTTGATATGGCAGCATGGGAAACTCAACAAACTTACATAGTTTTTAATACAAGACAATTCTTCCCATATGATTATAGAAAAAGGTTGCTGTTCAGCTGCAATTCTTTTTCCCTGTAATACAATGGACACATAGTAACTAATAGCCTGACACTCTCCTCTTTGAGTTATTTTATAATGTTCAAGGTCTCAGCAACTGCTTGAGATAAGTTCCATCTTGGTGTTAGGCACTGCATATGTGTTCTTGAAAATTGCAGGAATTGAAAAGCCGAGCTTTATGAATCTCTTCTAAATAATTTGAAGCATATTTTTCATGTAACCTGAAAGGATTGTACTGCTTCGGGAGATGAATAAGATCACAATTGAATTTTAAAATGTATTTATTTAAGCAAATGTCAAGAGAAAGAAATCTGTTGACTTGATGGTGTGATGAATGAGATTGACTGATCTTAGAAAGTACGGGTCACCCTAAATGACGAGTCATCTTTTAGCTGTCCATAATCTTGGTTGACAAAACATTAGCTTAAAAGAATTATTCTCCATTAGTGGCATGGAGATCTAAATACAGATTTTGATTCTTTTATATAACCATCTCAAGAGTTTGGCAGGTGATGCCGAAAGTATGGTGTACATGTAAGATACGTTTGCTCTACTCTACTTTCTTTTCTACCTATGATTCAATGAGCTATTCAGTGTCTTACATGAACGTGCACATGTCTTTGTTTTATGCTAGAGCAGCTTCCTTAGTTTTCTGAACACTCTTGTCTTTGATAAAGCCAATGTAAAGGTTAGTTCCATGGGTGTCACACTCCGATAGTTTTTCCTTCCGACCACCTTCTGACATGCTCTTAACAAACTCCACTAATTGCCGCCAGTTGTCCCCTTCAAACAACTTCTTATTCATTCTTAGATATGTAAATGCAGTCAATCCATTGCCAGATTCTGATCTACTTGTTGCCATAACTTGTGAATATGCACCTGCATCATACCTCTCCAATGCATTCTCCCCAGCAAGTTCAGTTCCAGCAGTCCTCGTAGCCATCTTCACTTGCCGCACTAATCCTTGTGGAGAACAATTTGCATGTTCTGGCTGTTCTCCATCTCGCATTTCCATGCAGGTGAAATTGAATACAACCCCATGTTTACTGAACATCCGTGCTATTGGTAGGTACCCATCATGATGTCTAGTATTATAGTATCCTGCAGTTAGTTCAGCTGCATGAGATCTTGTTCTGTAATGCCAATGAATTCCTGCTACCTTTCCCGATAGTTGTGCTCCAGTTCCTCGAAATATGCCTTCTGCAGCTGCTAGGATTTTTTCGCCATGCTCTAGTAGCTTCCCTGAGTACCATTCTAAGAAGAACTGTCCATATTCAGTATTCCATGTTCCATCCCTGCGGAAAAATCCAGTTTCTTCAGGAAAATGATTATACTGGCCGGAATCATGGGGTCCTCCTCGTCCCCAGTCTTTCTTTCCAAGTGCTTCAGCTGATGCTTCCAGTGAAGCTCTCATGTACTGTTCAACATAAAAGTTGTTTTTAAGAGTTAAACTTTCCATACTTGATAAATGACATGCTATCTGGTTTATTCTGATAATTTGATTCCATAAGATACATGTGTTATCAATTGATGGGGCACTCAATCTCTGGATTGCTCAAATTGGCTGACTAGCATGCTAAAAAAATTGCAGTTTAGGATGTAACCAAATTTACCTTGTCATAGCATTGGAATTCTCCAATTCCAGGAAACCTCCATGTGCCATTGGTTTCTGGATAAGCTGGGTATCTCAGCTCTCCACATGGACCCATCCCCACTTGAATTTCCTGCAATAAAAGCTGAATCAGTTTCTAAATCTTCAGGCTGTAATATCTCTACTTGTAGATAACAAGGGGGTTACTCATGATTTCTTTTCTCGAAATGGTTGTGTGTTCCCTTCTATCCCGTGAGGCTCTAATTTTTTATAGCATACAACTGAGTTATTTATTTTCTTCTCTCTCTCGTCTTGTAGATCCTTTTTATTTCAGTTCCCCTCTGACAGTCTTGGTCAAATAGAACCAAGTGGAACCTATAATCTTGCATGGATGATGATGGTTCTACCACTGGAATATATATATTGCTGCAACTTTAATTCAGTGAAAAGTGAAAAAACATAAAGAAAGTTTGTTCCCTAAGCTTATATTTAGTACCAATGATGAGCTCAAAGGAATTGATGCTTGCAAACTAATTATGATGAACTTGTGCTTAAACCGTGTTTCAAGCTTAGTAGGTTTTTAATTGAGAGATTATGCAAAAATAGAAAAATTTATTTTTAACTTCACCTAATAATTTAAATGCTCACATTTAATTATTTTCCTTTTGTTTCTAAATTTTTTTGGTTGCTAAAAATACTTACATAAGACAATAAAATACCTTATTTTCTTCCTCTTCCATAGATATTTGATTTCTAATGACCAACGTTAACTCTCACTTTATATTTTTCATTTCTGTTATTTGGTTGCTTCCCTTGTAGTTAAAACTATGCACACTTATCGAGATCTCTCTAATCTACTACCTTGATATGACATGAATTAGACATTCAGAATGATTTATTGTTATTTCCAATCCATATGAAATGGTGGTGATTGATGGACTTGCTGTACAAAACTATGTGACATCCCTTCTTCTTTTTAAATGTTTGTATTTATGCATGTGTTTGATCCATGAGGGATTTCCATGCTAGCATTCTTTTGATGCTCTTTTCAAAATTCTTATAGCCATAAAACTAATAACAGTGATTTGATTGGTATGAGCATGTTCTATGATGTGTCTACATGAGTGTGAATGTCTACATGGTATGAGCTTCAAGTTTGTTATATGTTGTCATTTTGTGAAGTAAATTGGTGATTTTCTATGCGTCTAATTTACCCAAATTTCATCTCTACGCCCAAAAAATAGCACCAAAAGGTGTGATGTCTAGAAGCTCACCATAATAACATCTCCTAGGTAATCTTTGAATCTCTTGCGGAAGCTCCTCATGTAATCACTGTAGACCTGTATGGGTGTTCTTCCTCTTAGCAATGGTAATGAGTCACAGCCCAAGGAAATGTACTCAGGATTCCTTCTTCCTGATCTGTCTGTGTAGACAAGATCAGGGTTTTTGCTGATCTCTTCAAGCACCCATGGAGGCAGGGGAATGCTAAAATTGAAGAGAAAGAAGGGATTAGTCATTATTTAACTTGTCTTTTGCCTAGTTTAAAATAGAGTTAACTAAAGAATATTAGTCAGGCTTATCAAAAGAAATTAGTACTTAACAAAGAAAAAAAATCACTGCATGGCACTTTAAGTGGCCAAGTCTGAAAAGGTCTTTAATAGGCTCTTAAGGAATCTGAATAATATTATTATTTGACGAATTCATCTCTTAATCTTAAATCTGAAAAGAGAAAAATATATCAAAACTAAAATTCATTGCTTATTTGTGACTTTCACCCAAAACCCTCCTCCAAACATAAAAGTAAAGGCTTTTTAGTACCTGCAAGAATCTCCAACATTTCCTCCACACTGATGAAAGGACATGACTACTTGAAGCTTCAGGCCATGCTTTTGCACCATCTTCACAAGCTCTGCATACCCTTCCCAGTTGTATTTTAAAGGCCCATCTTTCTCCACCAATCCCCACCAAGCATCCACCATTACTCCTTCGACTCCTGCACTTCTCAAGGCCATCAAGCTAGCATTCATTGCTCTTGGCTTGTTCAAGTTCCCCCCTATTGTTATTGTGTCAAGTGGCAGCATCACAAACACAGGCACTTTAGAGTCATTGCTACTACGAGGACCTGATATTGCATGTAGTTCGCCCCCTTTATTGCTTTTCCTTCCATCTGTCATCAAGATTTCATCGTGTGAGAGCTGTGCTTCTTGCATTGAATTCTTTGCCTGAAGACGGCATGATGGCTTGATATGCGCAAAGCAAATTGTGCCAGAAAAATCATCAGGAGTTTTAGGGCTTCTGGTGTCTTTTAGACTGATAAAGGAAGTTGAAGATCGCATTGCTGAAGTCATTTTTCTTTTTGGTGTCTTAAGAACAGAAGAGGGAGAGAAGAAATGGAGGAATGAATGAATGAATGAATGTGCCTTGTGTTCATTTATTAGAGAAACTCAGGTTCAGGTTTTTCAAGGATAAAATTTTGGTGGGCACTACTCTAAAGAGAAAAAGTGCAAACAATGAAAACTACTCTGCCACCTTTTCAATGTCATTTTCACCATATGTGGCTGCACCTTTTTCCTTTATGTTATGCTAGGAGAAAAAAGTTCCAGTTTTTATTTTCCATCCATTGAATTAATCTTGATTGTCGGATGCTGACTCAAGGGTATAATTGGCATCTTATTGTTCAAAACTTATTTTTATGCACGATCTTTCCCACATGGGAGCTGTGAGATAAATATTAGCTCTTTACTTGATAACAGGCAATTGGAATATCTTGAATGATGCATCTAATATTTTGCCTATTGTCTTTTTTATTGCCTTCCTACTTGAAGGTTTATTAATCAGTTAATTATCCATGGTTTGTTAAGTCAAATGGCTGTAAATTGCAGAAGATTGCTCTAAACTCTATTTTGAAACTATTGGGTTTATTGTTTTTTCTTGTTCAGCACTTGCCTTCCAATTTCTAACTGATGCACATGGTAACAAGTTCATGGACTACAAAAACTTTTTATGATATTAGACAAGCTAGTGAAGATTGCACCATATGATCAGGCATTAGCCACTATTGCTGATAGAAGGGTTTTATTTTCCCTTTTCAGTTTGGCTATTATCATGCTTATCATATCAAATCTCTGGGATTGGTGAACAATGGGCGGGTTTCTTTTGCCACTATCTAGCTTACCCCACAAAATAAGTATGCATCCATTTGGCTTTATCTTCATTCCTACTTAATTTGATTTTCTGTGGCAGGTAAAATCTTGATTTTTTTTTTCCTTCTTAG